CTGATGACCAGGGGGCAGGGTTGCGGGGTGTACCCTTTGGTTGGTTGATGATGTATGGAGGGGATTGTAACCATGGCAATATAATGATATGTCAATAGGATGAATGTAAAGCTAATGTTCTCCCATGTAAACTATCCATAATTCACAATAAAACATTTTTTTAAAGTAATATTAAATAGCAGCAGGGCGACTCATGCTGCACAGTTTTCAGCTGAGCTTCCAGATTAAGACAGACTAGGAAAAAGGAGAGGCTGACAACATTTGAAAGTTTAGTTACTGAGAACCTTATGGATAGCAATGGAACACTGTTATATAGGAAAAAACACGATATATTGAAGCATTATGAACTAGAAAATTATCAGATACAGTGTCAGAAGATAAGACCCTCAAGTTGGAAGGCACTCAAAATAAGGCTGGGGAAGAGTTGCCTCCTCAAAAGTAGAGTTGACAATGATGACTTGAATGGAGTAATGCCTTCAGGACCTACATTTGTTGATGGGGCACAATTCAAAATGAGGAGAAACATCTGCAAACCAGGATAGAGAATGTGCAATATATTAATCTAAGAAAATATAAGTTGTTAAAAATGAAACAGAATGCATTAGTGAGTTGAAATGAACTGATACTGGACAATTGTAAACCTGACAATCATACAATTTACTATATAGCAGGAATGACAAATTGAAGAGGATTGGCATCACATTCATCATCAAATAGAACATTTCAAGATCTATCTTGATATATAAAGCTGTGATAAAATATCCATAAACCTACAAGGAAGATATGTTAATACACTATTATTCAAATATATGCACCAAACACTACAGACAGTGATGATAAAGTTGAAGAATTCTACCAACTTCTTCAGTGTACAATTGATCAAACATACTATAAATATGTATTAGTAATTACTGGTAAAAGGATGGAAACAAAGAGAAAGGATGCTGTTGTTGTTAAGTGCAATCAAGTCAGTACCAACCCATAGCGACCTTATGCACAGCGGAATGCAACACTACCTGATCCTGAGCCAACCTCACTACCATTGCTATGCTTGAGTCCATCAATGCTGCCACTTGTCCAATCCATCTGGTTGGGGTCTTCTTCTTTTTCTCTGACCCTCCACCTTACCAAACATGATATCCTTCTCCAGTGACTGGTCCCTCCTGACAGTACGTCCAAAGTAAAAGAGACACAACTTGGCCATCCAGGCCTCCAAGGAGCACTCTGCCTGCACTTCTTCCAAAATGGATCTATTGGTTCTTTTGACAGCCCATAGCACTTTCAATATTCTCCTCCAACACCAAAACTCAAAAGCACCAATTCTTCTACAGTCTTCCTTATTAACTGTCCAGCTTTCACATGTATATGAAGTTATTGAAAATACCATGG